AACACAACGATGTTCCAGGAAGATGGAGCACTGTGTCACACTGCTAGAAACACCCAAAAGTGGCAGGAAGAAAATTGTCTCCAGAAGTTGCCCTGACCGAGCCAATCTCCTGACATGAACCCCATCGAAAACCTCTGGGCCATACTCGACCGGCAAGTCAAGAAACAACCAAAAAATCCAACTTCGAAGAGCAATCTACTCCAAGTTTTGAAGCAAGAGTGGACGAAAATCTCACAATCTAAAATTGACGAGATAATTCTCACGATGCCCCAAAGGATCAACGACCTCCATGAAGCGAAAAGAAGATTTACTAGATATTAACTGAATTATAAATATATCAATTCATGTGAATATGACTGAAAAGGTGGTGTCTATTTACTTGTGACCACGCTGTGTACATCTAAAAAGGATTCGTCTAAAAGCATGTATTTCGGTGATCAGGGGTGAAATTCTCAAAAAAAAAGTAGGGGTACTCAACTGGGTGAAGTGGACCTGTTTTTGAAAAAAGGAAAAAAAATCTACGTGTAAACATAAAAAACGATAAAGCATCTCAAATAAGTCCCTGTACTAGTACTGCCTTTTAAAAAATAAGTTCCTGTACCAGTGAGTACCTGCAGAATTTCACCTCTGGCGGTGGTGAATGCAATGTTTAAATTTATGTCAAAGATAATTAGATTGATTACCCAAGGAAGATTACCAAAATGATTTTCATGCTATTCAAACCAATTTCAGACAACTCAACAATGGCAGATTGTCACATTATCATTCTAAAAGATCCTTTGTTGATCAAAGAGTAAATACATCTTTTTTTATTGCTATTACATTACCTAAACAACTAGCACTATAACAGACTCAAGTACCTTACGTATGTTTCTAGATCTAAAAGGCAGCTTAGACTCTTTTTGCTCTTCAACTGTGAACTCGATATTCTTATGCTTTCAACTTAAATAATCTTGAAACTTTTTGACATATTTTGCTTTCTGAATACAATAAAAGTGTCATCAACGTATTTCCTATAAAAAAGTTTAAATTCGGTCGGACATGACTGTGACAATTGGTTTCACGATGAGACAAGAACAAATTAGCTAGTATAGGAGCAAATTAACGGTGCAGTCATGGGCTCACCACTTGCATATAAACTTACCAGCCCTTGTGGTTATTTTCACGATGAACTTATCAATATTAAAAAATACTTTATGAAAAATGCCTTCCCTCTAGCACTCATCAACAAAAGTATTTTTGAATATATCAGTAAGGTTTACAACCCCAAAATTCCTGACCTCAACGTTCCTAAATGTCCTATCACCTTGGTGTTACATTTTATTGGCTCCCACGACATCAAAATAAAAAGTAAAAGCATTCTGCAATCAACTTATCCCATGGTCAGCCTAAAAGTAATCTTCAAACCGAACAAACGGATACACATTTTTTTTTCCTATTTAAAGCAAAATACCTCCTTCAAAAAATCGTTGGTAGTATACAAATATTTGTGTCCTTGCTGCAGGCAAGTCTATATTGGGTCAACCACTCGAACCTTAACTACCAAAGTCAAGGAGCATGCACATTAGAGCCTTTTGAATAATTCTGGAATTTACAAACCACCTAAGCAAAGACTGTAACGAAAAACCGAACAGTGAACACTTCAGAATAATATACTCAGCGAAAGATGAATGGGCACTAAGAAAAAGAAAGCACTTCTAATTCGTAACCTACAACCTAAGCTGAAAAATCAACTAACTACGTCACTGCATTTCAAACTGTGATCAACTCATCGTGCCTGAGATGAGCAAAAAGTGAAAACTTCATCCAACGAACAAGGGTCAATATCTAATTATCAAAGAAGTCAGGCTTTCTTGTTCACACATATGAGATGTACAGTGTTGTCTTGTTTGCTGCTATACGACAGCTTCTCTAACGTCTTTTGGATGACATGTTAACGATAGTTGAATTCTGGGATCTGGAACACAATTGGACATCTGTTGCTCTTTTAAGCTTATCCAATAATAGTTTGTTGCCAGTAAATGGCAAGCTAATTAACTTTTGAATGTCACAATTGATATACTACATTAACAAAAAATGTCATCATACAACCAGTCCAAGAAACAGTGTCTGATACCAGTTTGATGGGCATTCATTATTCAGCTACCCTGAAAACAGATGTTTCTTACATTTGTTGTTTTGCTAATTATCAATGATATAGTGGCTATATATTCGTATTTGTAAGGAATGAAAAATCATACGAACAATCTATTTTGCATATGCAAGTAGTTGTAGTATTCTGCAATTGTTTGTTGGTGGTACCAATAGTGAATATTTTACACACTGCTGATGAGAATAATTTGCCAATATCCGACCTTTTAATTTATTTCATTCTGTGAATACAGTTAGCATAAACACTAACTTAAGAATGTATCCTTTGGTCAGTCAGCAGTAAGTTTATGGACTTGCAACCTACAATGCTAAAATCTTAGGTTTGATTCCCCAAGGTGAACAGAGCACAGACAGCCCATTAAAAATAACGTTGATATCAAGGATATAGTGCATGGTAAATTCTAAGTGATATACTTTTATATTGCAATTTAGTAAATTTAAATGGTGACAGAAAATACAAAGACTGCATGAACTTACATGGGGAGATAACCGCCACTTCAGTTTATGCAACTACCATATCACTTATTTCAACTGAAAATGTAATAAAAGTACTAAGTAACATCAATATACTGTAATTACGTTAAATTTACCACACATTTTTTAGGTAAATAAAACCACCCATATTAAAGGGAAGATAAACTTGTGACCTGCTACTGAAAAAAGCAAGTCTATGAAAGTAGTGTTCCTTGCTCTGTTTGCATTTTTTTCTAATATTACATTTGTATTTCAAGTGTTTGTTTTTTATACATATATTTCTATAATTGGTTATGCCTAATATTAGTTACTATTTTTGCTGTCTTTATGATATTCAGTTTCCTGACGATACACTTGGTTAAAAGGTAATGGAGTTCTAATTTTATTAACTTTCATTACTGTATGGTTTTAGGTGTATATTGAGAATTTACTTTTATTTTTCTGTATAAACAAATCATATAATATTTCATGATGCACTTTCAACCTTTTTCAGTGCTTCTTAACAACATTTTATAGTTCTATATAGTTAAAGATTGCACATTTTCTCTTATTCTTATTTGAACATAATTTTAAATTTTATAATTCATATAATTTATAAGTACAGATTTTAGAAAACTTTCAAAAACTATAAAGATTAAAGTTTTCAATATTATAAATTGAGCAGGAAAACCAATAATAAACACCCTAAGTAAAGAAACAAAATTTCCACAGAAATGTTCATAGTCATATATTGCCATTTGGAAAATCTCCTCTCTCTCTTTTTAAATCCTTGAAGTAATACAAGTCATTAATGAAATTTTTTGAAGTTAGTTACAATGTATAATGTTCATTTAATAATATTATTTCTAAATATTTTAAATCCTATGCTCACTTCAAACAATGAATCACACTTTGCTAAAAGTTGCTTTACTTATTTTTTTACATGAAGCAAACATTACATATTAAAGAGTAGATACAGTTTCTTAGATCATAATAAAGTGGAAACAATAATAGTTTTAATTTCTAATGATAAGAATGAATGTTTATGTAAATTTTTTTAAATGTAAATAAATTGAATACTTCTATAGCATCAATTTTGGCAGTTTCCTTTCTACAGCTTGATCTAATTTCAGGCCTATATATAAGTTCACAACACTAGGAAATTTGAAGTCAAACGATAATTTATTTTCAATGTGTTTAATTACAATACTCTAAAAACTGGTATGATAAAATATGGTCCTTTCTTTTTTCATTTTACAGTGTACGACAAGTAATTTTTTCTGAGAATTTATCATTGATTTTTTTTCATATATTTTGACCTGAATGGATAAGATATGAATATTCTAATTTTCCAACTGAATTACATTAACCAAAAAATAACAAAAAGAACCATTTGTATATAGATAATGGTTTTGAAGTTTCTACAGTTTTTATTGAAAATTATTTCAAGAAATCCAACTCTTAAAAAAATAATTAGTGTAAACTATTTCATTACAAAAATAAGTATAAATAGCAATATTTATGTTCATCAAAACATATTATATTTTATACAGTCTTTTCAAAACTACAAGTTATCTACAAATATTAACCTGACAAGTTCTGTTAAAAACAAAAACCAACCAAACCAAAGACAAAAACACATTTATCAAAATAACAGAATAATAACCTATACTTTTTATTATAACAATCTTGGGTGATGGATGTATAGAGAAAACGTTTCCAATAGAATACAAATTACATTTAAAATATGAGTAAACTGTAGTCAGTATTACTGTAATAGAAGTACAATTACGAATTATTTTCTTTCCACTTTTTATTAGAAATTTAAGGATTCATCAGTTATCTGACAAATAAAAATTCAATATCTATGCATGTCACTACCAAACATTACAAAAATATCAATGTGTAATTCTCAGGCTTTTGTTTGAAAAGATGATTTAATATATATACATGTATAATGTAAAGGAATTAATGTTTTACAAGTGTCCTTTCTCCACAAAGTTCCAATTATTCTGCACCCTGTAAATATATATATGTTAAACAATTTGTTCATTACTATCACAGTAACATCTCTATTTAGTGATAAGTAAATGAAGTTGATTTTCCCCTTAAAACATATAAAAACTATAATACTGTCAGGTTCCCCTTCACTTGAATGCCTTATATTAAACAATAACTAATAAAATTCTTTAGAAGAAATACAGTTAAAATGTTTTCTGAATAATCATTATCTTATCTAATTATGAATACAAAACAATTAGTTTTATGAATGGATTTCTACATTTTTATCTTTGTTAATTCACATTTATGTTTTTTGTGATCTGAAAAGTTAAACAGATGAAAGTAATACAATGCAATGTCTATGACATCTCTTATCTTTCTACATTATACTTGACTTTTTATTATTAACTGTGTATAAACTAGAACTAATTGAACATTTAATGATTCAGATGTTAGTAAAAATATTAACAGAAAGAAATTACCAGAAAATCAATTAAAATATATTAATCACAACATATTAAAAGCTAGTTTTAATTACTTATATGCACTGAATTTGTTGATTACAATCATAATGTTAATGACACCAGTACCATTATCAAGATATCAAACATGGCCAACATGATTAGATATGGTTCTTGATCTGTGGAAAAAATTAATCTAATGAGTAATTTTTCATTAATTATAAGGTGTTCCATCAAAGAGTACTCATACAATTTAAAAAACAAAAACAAATTGGCACAATGCTAAAACATAAAAAAAAACTATTAACATATGCTGTGCCCATGCTGGTAATAAAATTAGACATACCTGTTAAAATAAAAATTAGCAAGGAATTATATATTTTCAGTTATTGAGTCCTTTAATGTAAAATTATTTCACAAGTGATGTTAAACTAATGATGTAAGTTGCTACATTACTGATAGAGGTAAGTTAACTGGAATATTATAATGCTCCAAGCAGTGACCATTTTAGTTACCATGGTGACCGTTTTTATCTTTAGTCAAGTAAATGTCATTATAGTCACCAACAAGCAACTACATTATGTTGTTTTTCTATTTTTTACATAAGTGCTTTTCTCAGTATTTTACAACACTGTTATTAGTATTATTTTCAAATGCTTTTAGACCCATGTTAAAAATAATACAGCTCTAAGTCCCTACATCACAGGCATCTATGTTCATACAAATTGTTACTATGGGAAATCCAGACTCACAGTCCATTGTGTGAGGTGCTGCATATGGTCGCTTATAAAGATAATAGAATATTATAAACAAATAACTGTCTTTTATCAACATCAAACCAAAAAAAAGTTTCTCAAATGTTACAGAAGAACACAGTTCAGATTCTGATTGAGAAGAACCCACAGCTCTGAAGTATTATGTTCTTGATGTGCAAAATGAAAAGTTCATAGCAAAAAGATTTAAGTCATTATAGTGCCAACAGTTCAGTCGGTTAGTCCACAAAACAGGAGTAATATACTACAGTTATTGAAGGCAAGTAGGGTTGCAGGTTAATAGAAAGACTGATTTCATTGCAAGCTGCAGTTCTTTTAAGAAAGAATCACTAGTGAAACATAACAGTAATGTGAGGCTTGCAAAGGTATAGCAGGATATTTTAGGAAACCAAATGTAGTCTAAAAAAAAAAGAGTATTCCCATGTGCTATCATGAAATTGAAGCAAAACGTAACAAAATACAAAATGAAGATATATGTACAAAAATAAATACAGCATATTTTGTTCCAAAGGAAGAGCTCCTTTTCACAAAGTACTGTCTGAAGCTGCAGTTACAAAAGAAAGAATGAAGTCAATATCAATGCCATCTATATTAACAAAATGAAATGTGCTGAACAGATCAGTACAAGTTCTGTGCTGAAAAAATCTGCAACTGTTAAGTATTGGATTTATATGAAAATAAAACATACTTTTAGATGCAAATTGTTGTTTATTTTTCAAGATTTATACATTGATACTATATTATTTTGAAGAATAGTTTGCTTTTATAAGTATTAAATTTTAATGGGCAAACATTTCGTTTTCTGTTGACCATAAAGAAATAAATAAAAGCCTGATGGTCCCTTAAAGAAAAAGCTTACTTGGAGCACCAAATGTTACCACTTTTCATTACTTTTGCTTTTAAAGCACAATTAGGTGTAAACTATACAATAAACATTATCTAGTTAAGATCACTCATGATGTAAAAAAACACATATGTTCAAGAAATCTTAATATAAAATGATAGAAACCCTATAACCTGATCACTTCTGAAAGGTCTACCTTTTCGAAAGGGCTTGGGTTATAGGGTTTCTATCATTTTACAGCTAAGACCACTTGTATACATATATCTTAAACTTATACCACAGATTAAGTTCACAGTCAATAAATAACACTAAATTGTAGACAACCAGTTGTGTAAATAAAAGAAAATTACAAGCTACTCACTTTAATTAGCATGCTTATATTGAAAAGTTGAGTGGAAGAGATAAAAGTAATTATTTTGCAAAATAACAAACTGTCTGAAATGCAATTTAAAATACCCAATCAAATACAGTCTTCCTATAGTCGTCAGAATAATAAATTACCATAATGAATAATATTTCTGGTAATATCACCATTTCTAAAGTTAGTAGTTAATTTACATAAGTAGTTAAAACATATCCATTCCAAAATAATTAACAGAAGCCACCCTTCTTTGCCTAAAAGACCTTTATTGCTGTGAATTACTTATCATGACACTACAGCTGGGCCTTGGCAACAGGTGTTGCCTTCCCTCTAGTCAGCAGTTCAAGAAGGAAAAGGAGCAATAAGAAAATCAATAATTAAAAACAAAAGTGGTGGTGGGTGCTGCTAGACAGTTGCCATCTATCTAGTCAATAATTCAAAACTAGTAACAGTGGTAGATAGCCTTAGTAACTTTGCCATAACAAATACCCGGCAAGCAAGTTTGACAGTTACGGGAATTGAAACTGAGACACTTGAATACAAGTCTCTCCCATCATCAAAGGTGAACAAGCTTGAAGTATAACAACAACAAATGAGTCTAAAATTGGACAGGGACAACATGGCCCCTTATGCAACTTTGTGATTAACAACAAAGAATCATAATAACAATATTTCAATTACTTGGAATAATCAAAAATAGTAGTAATCAGAAATCTTAATTTCAATTAGGTGATTACTTCCAAGACATTTGATTTAATGATAATTTCAATCAACCATTTGTTGGGATAATAGAAAACAGTAATAACTGAAAATACTAATTTTAATTCGTTGATTATTTTTGTGACATTTGATTTAATCATAGTTTTGATTAATCTACTGTTAGAATAGCCCAAAACAGTAATAACAGGAAACATTAATATCACTTAAACAATTTAATGATAATTTTGATTAATCGATTAGATTATGGGACACTAAATCGATGTAATTGCGGCTCCGGGAATTTTGGAAAGTTTCCAAGGAAAATTTCTGAAATTTTGAATGTATGGGAATTAGCAGAAATTTTGAGTTAACTTGTATATTTTGCTCAAACAATATTCTAGCAACTCTCTAACAATTGTATTTTTACTTTGTAACTGCATATTGTGCCCTAGAAACCTGCGTATGTGCATTGTGTACATTTTAAAGAACATCAAGAGATTAATTTAAATTTCATATCCCCTGTTTGCATTTGTCTCTTAGTATTACATTATTTATATACTGCATACATAACACATGGTATATCATATGTAATGTACATAACCACTTGATAAATAACCAGTTACAACTTACAACATGGTTTTATTTTAAGCCATAACCACATAAAATTTTGACATAACCACAAAATTCTTCCCTTGGTTCTGTGTATTCACTAGTTATACATGAAGTTAACCATGCATCCTGGAAATCCCTTCATTTCTGTTGAAACAGAATGGACAGAAAAAAAAAATGTACATACTTTTATTTGAGATTTCGAATAAAACTGAGTGAAGAGTTATATCTTGTGAAATAAAGGAAATATACAATCCTCTACATACACATAGCTTTAACTAGTGTGTTTGGTTGTATTTTATTAGGGTGCATGAGGAAAATGCAAGCTTTTGTGTAAACATTTGGTAATTCAGACATTTATTAAAAGTACACTGTACACATTCACCAGGTCAAAAGAAGAGTGGCAATGATTTTTAAATTCTATTTTTTTTTCTTCAAATTTTCAAAACATATGAGCAGTGAATCCTTAGAACAGAAAATTAATCTACCATAGCCCTATATATCAGTTGAGAACTTGAGGTAAACATGAATTCTATATATAACAGGGTCTATATTTGCTTGTACTTAAAGGATGCCAAGAAAATGTCTTATAATATCTGCTTTAATCTAGAACATTAGCATTGAAATAATTTTCTGAATTTCAGAATGCCACGTATACAATCAGATTTTTGGTGACACTTCAGTGCAGCGAAAAAAGATGGCAAGGAAATTTACTTATGTAATTACTGCTCACAGCAATATGTCAAAAATGCAACCAAGATGCAAGCTCATTTGCAAAAATGCAAAAAAGCACCCCAGAATCAACACTGTGTGAAAAAACAGCAACAGTTACTCCTGGCACCAACAGCAAAAGTTCAAAAACCCGTAAAAGCTGTTTCATAGTCATCTGGTTTTTCTGCTACCACAAGTGATTCAGGTCAATCAGTTCCATCCACTTCATCAGCCACAAAGCAACTATCATATTTTGACAGCATAGACACTGCATCACAAAGCAAACTTGATGAAAGCCTAGCACGTGCCATCTATATCTCTGGTTCACCCTGATGTTAACAACAAATCATTACTGGCAAGCATTCTTCCAAAACATCAGACCTGCATACACACCTCCCACCAGACATGCACTGAGCATGCATTTATTGGAAGCAGAGTATGCACATGTTCAGGAAAAAGTTAGTGAAACTATCAAGAATGCTGACTGTGTTGCCATTATTTCTGATGGGTGGTCAAACATTAGTGGGGAAAGTATCATAAATTAAAACACCACAATACCACAACCAGTATTCTACAAAAGCAGAGAAACCAAAGCTGAACATCATACCAGTGATTACATTGCGAATGAACTCAAAAGTGTAATTCAGGAAACTGGATCAAACAAAGTGTATGCCATTGTCAGTGACAATGCTTCCAATATGAAAGCTGCTTGGACACAGATCGAAGAGGCATACCCTTATATAACACCTATTGGATGTGCAGCGCATGGACCGAGTCTTCTACTGGAGATATCATGAAGGTTGACACCATGCAAAGCTTGTTCAAAAATGCAACAGCAGTGGTAAAATATGCCAGGAGACACCAAGTGGTTTGGGCAATGTTGTGTGAAAAACGGAAAAGCCTGAATAAGGGAACAACACTTAAACTGCCAAGCCCAACAAGATTGGGTGCTGTTGTAATTATGTATAAGAGCTTGATTGATGGCAAAGAATCATTGCAAAAACTTGCAATTATGAAATCACTGGGTTTTGATAAAAGCATGCAAAACGATCTGCTGAATAATGATATTTTCTGACCACGCCTAGTGAACAGCCGCAAGATACTTGATCCTGTGGTATCAGCAATTATGCTCTTCTGTCTGATGTACCAAAGCTCCTAACTTGTGTTCAAGAAAAAGTAACTGCAGTACTTCCAAAGTCACCACTGAAAGAAGCTGAGGAAAGGGGAGCAACAAATTTAATCACGCAGAAGTCATAAGTTCTGCATGAAACCAATCCAAGCAGCAGCCAATATGCTACACCCTCGCTACACCTGTCAAATTTACTAACTGAATTATCTGTCGTGTTCTTTTATATTTCTTTACAGTGGTCGTCCATAGAAATGTAGTACACTTTTTAGAGATACAAGTATTATTTACAAGTTATAAGAGCTTAGTGTATGCATGTAAGCTGTAGCCCATTAAAGTATTGGTATATATAGTGTTTATTGCTGGATAATATAAATGTTTTAGTATTTTTTTTATTAATTTTATATTTAAAAACCAGTGTAGATGATCATTTTCATTTATGTTTATACATTCTTTGTACTTCAGGATAATTATGGTTGATGATATTTGTATAGATTTCTATTTTTTCATGTTGTGACTAAAGCATCAACACAACCATATATTTTTCAGTATTGTATTTCTTCTACTGTTTAAATATTGTATTAAATAAGAAAAAAGCTGATTTATTTCAAAAATATTTTACAAAATAATATGGCAATTTCAGTCTCAGGTAAGATTTGTAAATCATTCTTATTAACCACTAGTAAACAGTTAATTTTTGATGGTTCCCAAAATTCCCAATGTAAATTTACCACTGAAAATTCCTGGGAATTTTGCAACCCTACTCATAGGTAATTGATTAAGTCTCCTAGATCAACGGTATACCATTACAAATCCTTTAAGTTATGTGTTATAACCTATAAAATGACTCAATTTCAAATCTTTAATTTGTGCAATTGTTGTTTCTGGCAGGTTTCTCTTCTAAAAAGTTTCTTTTTAATTTTAACAACACACCAAAGTTGATAGAAGTTAGCATTTTCTTCAACTGAAAATGGATTTCCAATAGATACTTATTTCTGCTTGCAAAATACCTTTTCTTGATCTTCCACTGCCCTCTAATGCATTGAAAAGAAATTTTCTTGCTTGATGCACTAGCCTATATACTCCATAAGTTCGAGATGCTCATTTAGCATGCACAGAGCATGGGAAATCCCTCCACCAATAGGAGCATGACAGAGCAGCTGGCTCCCTCTATACTACTTGATAAGAACCTCACTTTTGAGATTAAGCCTACAAGATACACAAGAACGCTGGAAGAGGGGAGGAATGGTTGGAAGTGTGTGAGAGGAGTTAATTACCTATCAGAAATCCATTTTCCATGTAAGGAAATGATAACTTCTGATACAATATATAACCTCTTCTCACACAATAGCTAGAATCCCACACTGACTAGGTGGAAGGAGCAGTGTACGATAAAACTAGAGACCTCCAGCAGAAAGTGTCAGTAGAGAGTCAAACAGGTGTGCTATGTAATTGAATGGAAGCACATGTGGGGGACTGCACCACTTCTGGAACAGGTATGCTCTTTGCCCTTGAAGAAGTGGAGTGTTGTAAAATGGGTAGCATCGAGACCTGAATCTACTGAAAGAAAGACCTCGGAAAATGTATCAGGTGTAACTAATCAACGCGAGTCCTGCTCCATCTCAACCATACTAGTGTTATCGGAAACAAACCAAATCTGAAAGGAGAAGAGCCACAAGTAGTATAAAGACAAAAATGGACACAGATAGGTAACTCTAAACCCACATGGTAAAAATGGAAAGCCAATGGCCAATTCCTGGAATTATGAAGATGGAGGCATTCAATGAGACATTGCTAAGTATCTTCTCGACACCAACCATACAGACAAGGTTCTATGTCCCCTCCTCAGTGTAACAAGGACCTAATGTAAGATCAAAACCAGTATATACAATGTATGGTGGCCAGGGCAGGCAGACTGTTAGTAATATATACACCAACCTCTCCCATAAGTAAACAGAGTGCCATATTGCAAGCAACGGGAATTACAATGAGGAAATAAGCAAACAGCATCTGCTGGACAAACTTCCAAATTAACCGTAGGAGAGAGGAAGTATAACAAACCAAACACAGACTCATGGGGCTTTTCCTAAGCATCAACTCCACTGTATGAACAGGAAGTCATCCTGTAACTGGTATTACGAGCAGGAAAATAATTCTAACTCAACCATAAGAGCAGAGAAAAAACATCATGCACTCAGCATTATGAAGAGGATGTGGAATGCCTGTTCAACCGTATAAATAGGGCATCACATGTCCTGCAACTGGTATTATGAGCTAAACTGTAGGAGCAGCGAAATGAAACATCCTGAAACCGGAATTACCGAGAAAGGTGGAATTTACCAGTCTCAACCGTAGGAACAGGGTACGATCTACCTGAATCCAGTATTATGAAAAGGATCCAGCTTAGATTGGTCCAGCTCCAACCAACATCAGCACACCTGAAATTAAACAACCAGGGGTTTGATGGCAGGAAGGTTCCTTTTGCCCTCTTCTCAACGTAATGTAATGACATGTAATGTTAGGATGTGCATTCTACACTCGTGATGAAGCCTCCAAGGTCCACTACTCCAGCAGCTAGGAACTGGCAAGGACTTTTAAACTCCACTTAAGGAAGGGAGAATTAATGGGTGTGCAGGAGTCCAAAGGAGCTTCACACCAGAAAAAGTGCAATGGGTGACTGAAATCTTATTAGGAAAAGCAGACTGTTCCTGAGTTATTCAATCAAAGGAGTAGCAGGAATGGGCAGCAATCTCTTTCTGCCTTAAGCATGATAGCCCACAAGTGATGGTCCACCAAGTACATATAAGAATTGTACGTATGGATAAATATATATATACCACGAGGTAAGCTGCTAGTGATCTTGCAGAACACCCCATCTTGACAGTGTGTGCTATGACTTTAAAGGTATTTGGTGAGGGTTTATAAGAAAGCATGCCTGATAACTGATCTGCATCAAGATTCAAAGTACCGGGGATATGATAAGCCAAGAGCTGTATCCAGTGCACATGGTCCCAGAATAGGAGCTCCAGAGTACAAAAACAAAGGGACATGAATTCGGTATCTCCTTGCTAGGTGATGTATGAGATCACTGTAGAGTTGTTAGAATACACCATTTCCCTTAGAAGATGGAGGAAATGAGACATAGTTTGACGAATACAGCTAAGAGCTCCAAAACATTGACATGAAGCCTGGATTGGGACAATGAATATCTCCCAGAAATCTCCAGGGTATTGAGATATACACCCCAACCCACAAGAGAAGCATCAATAAAAACATGCAGATACAGATGAGGAAGTGGTAGAGGAATATCAGCAGTAGTATTGTCTCTGTCCAACCATCAAGCAAAGAAGAAAGGCAGGACAACAGGGAGATTTAAGGGATCTGAGCTAAAGGTCCATCGATTGTTGCACAACAAAGGGTTATGAGAGCCTCCAAGGAAGCCCACATCCACAAAACAGAGAGAATTAGAGGATAGGACCTTGATGACCAACTGCTAAATATCTCAAATACATAGTGGAAAAGGCCAGGCCTGACTCAGCAGGGAACTGTAGAAAACTCCAAAGGGAAAGGAAGGACTTCTCCAATTGATTCACCAACCCACACGAGCAGCCTCCTCCAGGAGCAAATTGGTGTGATCAGAAGGTGCCACACTGGAGCCTGACCCCCATAGGACCTGACCCTACTGTGTAGTCACCTATATCACTGTCGATGGTCTTGACGAGCACAGGAAAAATTAAGATAAGGAGAACGTTAAGATGCAGGTAAAGGACAAGCCATGGAAGCAGGATGATGGAAAACAAGAGGAGGATCAGGAGTTGTGGAGGAGGACGTTGTGAGAAATGATTAGCAAGGGACAAAAGAAAAGTATGCAACCTGACCACATCAACATGGGACTCCAAAGAATAAGCATGACCCCCCACACAAAAATGCAGCCACCCTTAAGTCCCTGAGGGAAGACGGGGAGATGAACCCTCGCAAGAATAATCACATTTCTCCCCAAATAGTATGGGGTATAAAGGCTAGTGCATCAAAAGAGAAAATTTTGTTTCAATGCATTAAAGGGCAGTGGAAGATCAAGAAAAGCTATTGTGCGAGAGTAGGTATGTATCGTATCAGAATTCACTGTGGAAAAAGTGATTTCAGTTTCTAACATTCAGTTTTTCATCTTCCTAAATAGTAATATAGATTGAAAATGATAACAAACCTAATGATATACCTTAAATGAAGCAAGAATTTGAAAAGAAACATTTTGCAACTTTTGTTAATTTTAACTACACATTCAAGATTAAGGAAAACATTCGTCAGTTGAATTTCCTTATAAAAAAACAAACCAAACCCACAGTACAGTATATTATAAACAAAACAAGATTGAATATAGTGTTTAGAAGGGTTCTATGATCTGTGAATGTCAGAATTCAACACAACCATGCAGCATTCTGAATGGCAAACAATATATACAGACTTGAGCTCTGTCTAAAAGTGGAAGAGTACAGAACTTTACAGCTTCATCATTTCAAATATAATGGTAATGAATGTAATGAACACCAGAAGGCTATATGATGAAATAAAATATACGTAATAAATTATATTTTGGCCTTAAGTTATATTTACACATCATAAAAGAAAAGGCAAAAAAATCTAAGTTCTTAAGTTGAAAGAGAACATGCACATATTATATTGTACATATGCTATGAAGAACAAACATCAACACATGATGTTTTCTAAGAAATAAATAGTTAATAAATACTTTTGCTGAGAAATACATATTCCTATTTTCAGAACAGAATGACAAATAGAAAACTACTAATCCATATAAAATAACAGTTATTCAGATGTAAGACAGAGTAAGGAAGATACATAACTATACAGATAACAAGACTGTCAAGGTGGTCAGTTGATAATAGAATGACATTCACTGCACTCTTAACATTTCAAAGCAGTCAATTCCCAGTCAGACTATGGATCCAAATCTGATGACAAGATGCACTGGTAATGCAATAGGACAATATTTAGAGTGAAAAAATGCTAAACATAGATCTGTAGAAAAGGAAGCAAAAGACAAAGAAGTAAGCCAAAAAAATACCTTGATGTCTTAAAAGAGATAGCAAACATGCATGCAGTTGAGGTTTAAAAAAATCTAAAATGTAAGACAAAAAATAACAACTAAATATTCAACACCAAGAAATAGCACACCAATAAAACCAGGCTTTTTCAACAGGATAAAAAAAAACACAACAAGAATTAAATTACCACTTCTTTCTCAACTGGCTGAAATATCCAGCATAAGCTATTACATCCAAGTTGGCAGAGAAAAAATAATTAGTTTACAGCTATCCAAGTATAACATCCAACATTACTGTAAAATACGTTTGAAAAGAATATGTCCTTGAGCCCACACTCATAATCAAAAAATGGGTTATGAGCAGTGTTCCCTCTAAGCTGTGCAGCCACACAACAACCAATCAAGTGCTGCATACTTCATTATTCCAGCTGTGCATATCCTTAATAATGGTGAGGAGTCTCAACACTTTGACAGCTTTATGACCCTGTCAGTCAATAGGTCTAAAGTTCAAATAACCAACTGGTAGCACTGCAAAGTGGCCTAAAGATCCAATAGGGCAAATGGCCTAAAAATACCACCACCACCCCCCAAAAAAACTGGTAGCACACATCCGCACATTGCCTTGATACTGGTGCACATGAAAAAATTCATTCCGCACATGGATTGAAAAAATTAGAGAGAACATGTAAAGAAATAACAATTAATGGAAAGTTCTTGCAATGTACAAAGTTTTTAGAAATAAATTTTTAGATTATATGTTCTTTGAAAGAAGCACAATAGATTTAGTTTACATTATTTGACAATACAAGTCAAATAGTAGTTACCTTTCAAACCAGGTGTAAATTACATCTGAAAGTATAATCATATGCAAATAAGTTTTTCATAATTAAATATACACTTTGAAGGGATGTTCCCAATTTAATGTATTAATCCTTTCTTGACTCCACTTTCTTTTTCTCCACAATACTGCACACAAAAAAAACTATGAACTGAAGAAACTCTTCCAGAAGTTTTTCCACCTATTATCATGTACAGTACTATTTAATTTCTTTCCTTTGTTTTTCTTGGGTCTCTCCTTTTGAATCAAAGTAACTTTTGCTTTTCCAAGTTGTTGATCTTTAGGGCTTTTTACAGTAGAACTTGGTGGTGGTTTGTTGCCAAGACCAAGTCTGCTGAACTTGAATGGTGTCAGACGGTAAACGCAGTACTCCATTATGTACATCTGAGATGGAGAGATGCCATGAAAAGTTATGGCGTGATCACTACAACAGTCACCACCCTGTAAAGAATCACAAAACATTATAAAATCATTCACCTGAATTCTTTTCAAACCATAATTCAGTATCTTTTTAGTGACATGCATTCAACAATACAACATACTCTTCAAAGATACATGTCTAAAAACCACCTTGTATGTCTAAAGGTCACGTGATATATTTTGTAAATTTGTATCACAAATCTACAGTCTTTCATATTAACTAATGCTGTAAATGTATACAATTATGTATATTAAATGAAGGAAAATAAAAATGGTCATTCTCCATAATTTTGTAATAATTTCAAAGGATAGAGGTTGAGAGACATACAAGTATAGAAAAATATGGTAGTTATTTTAAAACCTACATTTTATTTCAAAATATTCAGGCTGTTTTGACTATTTTTTTTTGTCAATATATTTTATACCTTCACATTTATTTTGTAAAAAATGCACATTAACATTGTTATATTAATGTTTTAAATTATGCATAGATGGAATAATATTGCAAAAGTTCAACCAGAAAATATCTAAAATCCTCTAAGTCAGGGGTTCCCAAACTTTCTCAGCACAAAGCCCCTCTCCTCCAAAACATTCTGAATCCTGACTGAGGTCCCCCACCTAATGAATCTAAAGATACCTTAACAGTATTGTGTATTTGCTATGGCCCCCAGTCTGAAAGCCCCTCCACTAAATGACATATTAGTTAAAGAAGGTGAGATTGGTGGGTTTGTATGGCTCAGGTGTTTGACTCACTTGTTAGATAGTAGTATTCCTAGAGAAAATGATCCAAAGTTTTATTTATTCCTCTACACTGATACGTGTTTAGTTTCAGCCTCATTTTTATGTGGAAGGCTTCTAGAAGAACTAAGCTCATCTTATACTTATCATCCTTAACTCTTTCATATATAAATAAATAATGTATACACAAACACACAGACACATTATATGCTGATTATCATCCAAAACTGATATCTATTACACATCATTTTATTATTTCATTTAATTTCTGTAACCAACACTGAGGGCTGACATCTAGAATAGGAGAATTCCCAAGATCAGTACTGTGAAAGCCATGGTCCATGAATTCAATAACAATAAAGAATTTCACATATAATACAATGTTCTGATTACACAGGCCTGCCATGAGTTTATTGTCTTAAAATTTTTACATGTTCTACAGTAATTTCTGCACACTGAAACTGAGAATAATATCCATTTTTTCTCCATCATGTACAAATTTTTCACAAAACTTCATATGTACTTTTACATAAGTGAATCATTTTCATCGAAATCAGGTCACATTTTGTTATGCTTAAAATGTTGACAACCACTGGCTATAAATCTACACCAATTGCGAAGTGAGAGTCTTATTGATCATTCTAGAACCCAAACATAACTATAAAAAAATGTTCATTGGGGTAAATGAAATAATAATTTGATCCAAATAAGAGTTTTTTTCTTCCCGATTTGTAACAAATCCTTATGTGATAGAAAAAAATGAATATTATTTTCTAAATCTGTGTAGCTGAATTATGGAAAATATGTTATTCAAACCAAAACAACTTTTACAAAAATGATCAAGGCAAATTTTCAACCACTTTCCCATTAAGATTAAATAGCCTTCAAATGATTAGTTTTTGGTGAGTAGAAATTTCTATGTCATGCTCAGTTGACTTCAGTTTATGTATTTTAAAAATACTACACAAATGTCCTAACTGACAAGCTTTTTTTGTCATACAAGTATGTACAAGAAATCATTGTTTTTATTTACATTCTTCACGTGTTTCCTGTTTAAAGTGGTACTTCAAGTATGTTTCAAGTCACCACAACCACCTTCCTCAATTACCTGTTACTGTAATAATAACTATCATTGGGTTCTATTTTATGGTAATGGTGTTGTGCTCACAATGCCAGTTACAGGTGAAAGTATTTCACACAGAAACATTTGAAATTTTCTTATTTTTCATTCCTTGTCAGAGTTTCTAAACATTATTTTCATACTTCACTTCTCACCCCTATTTCAAAAACTAACATAATTTTTATTTATTTGATTAGTAATGAAATGGTCCCCCAAATAACTCTCAGGATTAAATTTTATGTAAAATATTGCTTTCAAGAAGATGAAGCTTGCAGTGAGAGAAAAAAAAAAACATAAGAAAAATGTCAATTGCGAGGTTTTTCAAAAGATTTACACTTATTTTATTGTCAAGAGGGTATAGTTTCATGATTTTGTAGTTTTGAGCTTTTGGCATCTTGATTAGCTGGGAAATTACTGAAAGCACATATATCAGTTACTGATATCTTCTCTAAATTTGTTTTCCTAACATATCTGCTCAAAAATATACTGCAATAAGCAAACAAAACATAAGAATGAAAATCTACAACAGTATGACTGTTCATCAAATCTACAAAAAGATAATGTTAGCATTTACCTATAATATATATTATTTGAAAATGAAATGTTTTTATATTTTGATGTATGTTTGATTTTGTAAAGTTCTGCTAGATAAATACTTAAAAAGAATGTTAAATTATTTTAGACACAGCCGTTCTATTAAAATATATTGTCACATCACTACTTAAATGGTCTGGCATCACATATACACAGGTGGTTATTTTATGTTTAAAAAAAAATGAAGATGTAGGTGCAAATGATTAGAAATGCTTGAATAATATTAGAAGTCACATTTTAATGAATTCTAAAGTATTATCCTATAATAAGAAAACATGTCTTACCTCAGGACTCAAGAATACACTTTGCTTCCAGTATGAGCTGAATATGGATATCGAGCCTGGAATAAGTAATTTTTCTGCTGAAAATGCATTAAACCTGCTCTTTCCAAGTTGGTCTCGAGTATCCATGGGCATGATTTCTGCTTTCTGTAAAATTTTTCCTATGGAAACTCCAAAGTGTCCAGAAGGAGCTTGAATGCAAGTATTTCCATCAGGAAACAAAGAATGCAGAGTTTTTATAGCACCTACACTAAGGAGTATCCCTGAATCAGCCATGTTGAAGTAATCAAAATAATGTTTGGCTGAATGGCCTAAATAGTAGGGATGGCTTGCATTTAAAGAAGCAACATAATAACGAACATTTTCAATAATGGCAAAAGTTTCATCATCTGTAATTAAAATCCACTTGAATTCTCCATAATGTTTCTTCCACACATGAACCAAGGCTTGACACAAAGGACTAAAGGAACTAGCTGCAGGAATTTTAAAGACTGGAATCTTGTCATCGATAAAAGGACCAAAGAATTTAACACTATTGCAATGTTTTGCCCAAGTTTCTTTGACAGCCTTTGCTCCTTTAACATTGCTTGCTCTAACCAAACAAAATATAGACACTTTTTGAAACAGAAAATCAGCTTCTGTTGTTAACTTTTGATTTCTTACAGAAAAACTGATATTTTCCTCTGGAATCAAATCAGACATCAGACCCTGTGTATATAACCAAGTATCATATCTTGTATTTCTCAAGGCTGGAGTATAATGACTATAAGCTTCTGAATATTGAACCATTTGTTCATATTTTCTCCAAACAAAAGCAAATAGCATTCCAGATAAACATGCACAAATAAACAAAAACAATCTGCTGGTTGATAACCATTTCTTACAACATTCCATGTTGGTTTAAAATACTACTACTATCATAGATATTTTTTCACTATAATAAAAGTTAAAAGTTATACAAATACCAGTACAACATGCTATATATACATTAATGTGAAATTAAACTCAACAATGTTTTGAATTTTTTAACAGTTCAAAATTGTATGCCTTTACAGCTGACCACTTTATATGGCTTTAACAATCCTATAAACACCAAATAAATATAATTGCAATGTGTGACAACTGTATATTTCAAGTAAAGTTAATATAAGTTATGCTTCCACTAAATTAGCTGCTTTGTATCTTCTAGGTGCACTCAAATTTTTTCATATACCTGGAAAGAAAGAAAAATATAAAATAACTCAACAACTAATTAATCTATGATACCTATAAATTTGATGTATACACATCTACTACCATTCAACTACTAAGTTATACTTAAGAACACGACAATTTTTCTCAATTATACATCAATGTATTCCAATAATTACCAACATATTTGTATAGTTAAATAAAGCTTATGTGATGTGTTATCACCATCAAAACATGCAAATAATCTTACAACAGCAACTGACAAATCATACATGTGAAAATATTAATTATAAAATACGTTCAACAATTCACATGTCTTCAACACTTAAAAACTTCAAAAACAGCAGGTTAAACAAAAACTAGCTGTAATAAAGTTTTGTTTCCTAAGACTGCTTGAAGCTAATCACACAAGTAAAATAATAATGAATACATCTTTGAATATAATACTGTATGTCTGTCTAATATGTTGTTTGGACTAGTAAAAACAATGTACAGATTCATCAAATTTGGTTAATTGCTTTTTGACATCTATGAAAAAAAAAAAAGGTCAATTTTTAATTTAATATCAAAAAGAGAGATAATAGTATGTATTATTATTGCAAAAATTGTGGATAGTTACCAGGTTTAATATCTTTGGACACTTAAATATAACCACTTAACCTAAGATAAGCCTTTTAAAGTGGATTCTATAGAGCCTGTGAATTTAAAAAGAGGTGATTTGATGTAATACAGTAAATGAACCTAAAGAATCCCGGCAAGTAACATCAAAATCTAAGAACCAGAAATGAAAAATAATTACTATTAAAGACATCATAAACATTAATTTGAAAATAATAATTTCCTCTGTGACATATGACAGACAAAAATCATATCACTACATAATATGACATATTTAAGACAATACACATACAGATACATATAAACTTGATTAGTGAAAGTAGAACCATCCATTAGTCATATGCTATGTTGGAAATTAACATTTTCCCTACATAAATATGTATTCCTTATAGATACTCACCTCTCACACAGAATAGTTTGATCTTTCATGCATCTGCCTATGAAATATGCATGCCATTAGTGTTGAGCTAACTCCCACTAAAAATCACATGAACTATGATAGTGCATTATGACATCATTATGCAACAACAGCTCTCCATCAATAGGAGGGTGACATAACCTCCTTGCACAGTAAATCCCACTAAGCAATTATGCTTGAAATAACTTTATTCTTAGATGAGGCAAAAAGAAAGTGCACCAGAAATGGGGAAGATGGGTGGGAAGGTGTGTAGAGATAAGTATCTATCGGAAATACATTTTCATGTAAGGAAAATGTCAACTTCAACAGACCATACCTCATCCATCCTTGAAATGGTGGACAGGCCGGCGCAAACATTAAACTTAGATGAGCTCCCTTCAGAAAGTACCTAAAGGTAAAGCCCATGAAGTGTGACACCTGATGGCAGGAGCTCCACGGGGACACACTTGTGGAAGACCTCATCTTATCTCAACCAGGGTATACTCTTCAACCAGAAGGAAACAGAGGGAAAGGCAAAAGAGGTTCAAGTGTTGCAGGGATGGGCAGAATTTTATCATGATCAACTGAGCACCCACACACAAGTGGTCAGTGAGCCCAGAAGTGTAGTATGGTTAGGATGCAATCAGACTGTACTATATGCATCTCACCTTGACTCAAATAGGTAGACAGAGATGAGGTGGCAACCTCTTCCTACTGCAGAAGGGCACACTAGCTATTTGAGGGGTAACCCACACTATCCAGACAATGCCATTACCATGCTACTTTCCATTGTATTGTGCTGTACACAAATCAGTAAGGAACTCTCCAAGGTCCACCACCCCAGTGGCTAAGAAGTAGTAAGTAGCAAGGGTCTCCCATGATCCACTGAAGAAGAGGGAATTCATGTTGGGGAGACTTGCAGAAGTGCCTGTATCCCCACTGAATGCCTACCAGAAATGTTTTTTACTGCAGACAATGCAAAGGGTGACCTAAAAACCTTATTTTTAAAAACCTGCAAGCACGAGCCAAAAAAGTAGGCAGTCACTTCCCTAGTGCCACCTTTTCTCATGATAGTCCATACAATGGTACGATCTGGATCAAGCAATTGAATAATTTTAATACCATGAGGATACCTCTAGTGAGCTTGCAGAAAACCCCATTTCAACAGTATGCACTGGTAGAGCAAGGTCAAATCGGTTGAGCTCTTTCCATTTCCCCGTGCCCTGTGCAGAGTTTGGGAAATATGCATACCCTGGGAGGCAACACCAACCACCAGGTGGGATCCTATAAAAGGGAAAAGGGTGATGAAAAACTGTACTTACTGTTCTCAAAGACATTTTGTAGTTTTGTTGAAGAACACTGACTGAAGTGAGTTGAAATCCCGCAGGAGACAAAACGGCCAGCTGATAAAGATAGTGGGAAATGAGCATGTGCTAAAGTATTAGAAAGAAAAGCCTGGTCCGGATAGAGGAGTAAGTATGGTGAAAGAGATTGCAATAAGCATCGATGGCATATACATCTGAATGACAGCAACCACAGGCTAGAAGAAGAAAACATGTCTTCAGAGAATGAAGATATAATGAACACAAAGCCAATGTCTCAAACAGAGCACATGTAAGTGTGTGTGAAACCATGTCAAATTTCCAGTCAGGCATGGGAGTAGGATGAGGGGGTTGATGAAGAAGGAAAGATTGGAATAAAGTGAAGAGGAGAAGAAAACCTGACATTAATGGGAAAGGCAAAATTTAGTTGATAAAACCACCTGAGAACCATTAATAGTGTAAATCAATAATCCATAGTCGAACAACTATGTGAAAAAGGCAGAAAAGTGAGACACAGTAGGATGGCTTATAGGAAGGGAGAGGCTAATGGACCAATTTCAAAGAACCTGTCTCTTCTGTTGATAGACAGAGTTGAAGGACAACTGGAATGGGATAAGAAAATGGCTACACAATGGGAGACAGTCCAACCTGCGAACAATGGACTGGACAAACCCACATGTGTAGGTGAAGGGTCAACACTCCTGGGTGAAAGAGAGATGTGGATAGAGCAAGAGACTAGGAATGAGGCAGAGGAAGAGGAGACCTGGATGCCAACTTATGAGGTCAAGGAATATGGAGTTGTGCCAACCATAATGGCACCAGCAACATGACCCAACAAGAGATGATGTATATCAAAGCAAGGATACAAGGGGAAAAGGAATAGGAAGACACACATACAAAAAAAAGTGAGACTAGTCGTGGCTGAGAGCATCTCCTACTTGGGCTGTAGGATGAGAAACTGGAGACTCAAAGAGGGTAAGTTTGGTGTTCAGAATGGCAAAGGCACTGATGAGAGATGTGTCCAACTGACAGCACACCCAACAAAAAAACCTGATGGTGGAGAGACCACCCTGCCCAAGAGAGAGAGAGAGTTTATCTGCCACCAAGTTCAGAGCCTCTAACATTTGACAAGCTGTGAGATGAACTCAATGAGCATAAGTCCAAAACAGCAGGGGTAATGCATGGAAGCAAAATGTCCTGGAAAAGGTACTTCTGTGACAGTTGACATAAGAAATAATTAAAGAATTTTTAGAGCAAATCATGACCACCCAATCCACAAGAAGAGGGAGGAAATGGGAAAATGCCTGACCAATAGTGAGAAGTTCAAGGACGTTAATGTGCAGTGAATACTCCTCCAAAGCCCACATGCCCAACATCATGTAGTTATTCAGACACCTTCCCAGCCTGACAGAGAGGGATTCATGAAAAGCTGGAGATCCAGTCACGTGGCTGCATAAGTATGCCTGCTGTGGTGTTGACACAGTTGAACCACCAAGACAAATACTCAAGAAGAGGGGAAGGAAGGCACGTAGCTGAGGACAACGGATCCCAAGAAAGGTTCCACTTGTCCTGCAATTACCACTGGAATAAGTGGTTCAAGGGAAACCAGAGTTCCTCAAAACAAAAGAACCTCATGTAAAGAACCTCATGCCAAACCTTGGCACCAAGACATTCCATTACTCATAAATGAAATGGTGAAGGCCGAGCCCGAATGAGGCTCGAGTTGACGAATGTGCCCAGATGTGCCAAATATAGGGTGGGTGGGAGAAAAGACCTGGAAGCTTGGCAAGCTAGCCCAGCTAAGCATCCTCCTGCAAAATGTATGTGTGAGAGAGAGGAGTCTTCCTAAAAAGGAGTGAGGAGAAGCTAATCATCCATGTGATAATGGAAACTCAGCTCTAATCCATGATCAAGATGAGCGAGTGTCTCCATGACTTGATTAGAGAAATAAGAAACAGACATAATGCCAAAAGGAAAAGCATGGTACTCGAAGACCTGATCCCAATGGATGAAACAAAGAAAATGCCTGGAGGATGGGGTGATCAGATTGTGTAAAAAGGTGTCCACAGTACAGGTGAAAAGATCCATCAGAAAGAAAAAAACCCTCCATATGGAACTGAGGGATGATAAGAAATTAGCTAAGAGATGAGTTGAAAACTAGATACCAGTTCCCAGTCTTCTTGGAGACCACAAAAGGATAACCAAGTGTAGGGGTAAACACCCTCTCGATAGTGTTCTTAGCCAAGAGATCTGAGACCACATCCTTGAGACACTGAATATAAAGGGGGAACAGAGGTAGGAGGAAAGAAAATGGAAAAGGGGAGGAGGTAAATAGAGGTGGAGAGATAGGCTGTGGGTGAAATACTGAATAACCCATCTATTGGACAAAAATGGAGACCAAAGGCTGGCAAAAAAAAAGATAGATGGGCTCCCACTGGGCCAGACCTGACAGAGTAATCACCAACAAGATGAACAATGACTCTGACTATGGGAATTGGGAGGAAAGGAAGTAGATGAAGGGCAGAAAGCTGGGATGGGAAAGGGAGATGTGGATTCAGTAGACCTAAAAACAATATGGATGTGAAGTTGCCCAGGAAATGAGTCAGGTGAAAAAGGAAAGAAGGAGGGGGGATTAAAAGACAAAGGGGAAAAGAACACCTGCAAAATCATGTCAAGGAAGAGATT